CGGGTTAAGCCTCTGCCTTCAGCTCAGGTCATGATCTCAGGGTCCTGGGATCGAGCCCCGCATCGGGCTCTCTGCTCAGCAGGGAGTCTGCTTCCCCCCTCTCTCTCTCTGCCTGCCTCTCTGCCTACTTGTGATCTCTGTCTGTCAAATAAATAAAAAATCTAAAAAAAAAAAAAAAAACTGAAAAACAGGCTAGCACCTTTCCTTTCGGCTTTTGGACCCACTTTTCTTTGCCCGAACCATTTCCCCCGTGAGCATGGCTGATTTCGTTTTGTCACCCAACACTTAGCTCAGACATCAAAGCCCGAATCTGGTCATCTGATTCCTTGTATTTTGGGGGTGTTTTTTGGGGAGGGGGTGTTTGCCTTGATTTTTGTCGTTGTTATTGTTTTCTTCTCATAATTTTTTCCTGTACTTGACGTATTCTGGTTTAGTCTTTGTTGACTTTATCATTGCTCTTTCACCATTAGAGTGGTACTCCAGGAGATCAGGAAATGAGTCTGGGGCTATCTTGGTCACCCCGCACTATGCCCCAGCTGTCAGCCGTCGGGGCACCTGGCTGGTACACAGCAGCCCAGGAAAACTGGGAGACACGGACAGGTCCTCAGAGCCAAGAGAGGGAGGAGCGCGCCTGATCGCAGCACTGGGAGCATGACCTATGCCCGACACCAGCCTGCCTCTGGGCTGCTCAATCATCCCTCCCATTTAGGCCAACTCGCTTGACTTTGCCGTCCGTTACAGCCAGAATCCTCCAGATGTGTTGATACACATCATCTGAATGAATTCATCGTTTTCGTATTTGTGGGAAATAGTTTAGTATGAGCAAAACCCAAGATCCAAGCACCTGAAATGTAAGTATCCCGAGTGTACCAGCCTGCACGCCTTCTCTCCTCACCTGCTGCGGACAGCCTGCGGGTCACAGTCTCTCGGGGCCTCCAGGGCGAGCACTCACAGTATAAGGCAGGTACTCAGTGACTTGGCTTCTTGTTCCCAAGACTTGGGTATCAGTGATGGTGGCGATGGCCCTGGAGCCACTTCCCAGACTACAGTGTCGAGACCAGTGGAGGTGGGCAGGGGAGGCAGCAGCCCTGAACTTGCTGGAGAGCATGTTTGTGAGGGGTTTTCTTGGGCACGCCATCTAGAAAGGCCTGGGAGAAGAGCCCTTTCTGCCTCTGGGGAGGCAGGGTATGGTGTTGTCTGGTCTTGGCGCATGGGCTTTTCCCCACACAGAGGAAGGCACGACCAGCTTATGTTCCCTGGCCTGAGAACCCACGGCCCGGCCTCCCCAACCCCCAGTCGACTAGATCATTGAGCTGGGAGCAGTCCCTCCCGTTTGAGGAGAGGAGAGTCTGTGCCCACACAGTGAGAAAGCAGAACCCGAGGAGAAACCACTTGGCCCATTTCTGGAAAACATAGAGTCCACAATACCAGTGAGTAGACAGAAAAGCACGTCAGCACAGGGCGGGACCTGTCACATGAGGTGTGAAGGAAGAGCACAGAGGGAGGAGACTGACTCCTTGAAGCAAGCACGTTCCAGGCCGCATCTGCTCTGTACTCCTGAAAATTTTCAGGAACTGGTTTTCATGTTTTTATTTAAAAAGTTGAGTGAATTTTTGCCCTTTTCTGCTCGGGGATAGGTAAAGATATTTTTGAAATGTGCAAATGCATGGTACAACATTGAAATTTGTACTGGAAGGTGTGACGTAGAGAAAAGAGAAGGACGTCTCCCAGCAAGAAGGCCAGAGAATGGAAGCTGAGGCCCGGCCTGCCGCTCCAGGAGTCCCTACCGCAAGAGGCGGTGCCGAGCCAGGTCTGCGGTAAGCCGCCTGTGCACTCTCGAGGAGGGGCGCCTCCGTAGACGGGAGCATGTGCCAGAGTCCCCCGTCACCTGAGGACAGGCAGCATCTCGAAACAGTAGTCAGCCCTTGCCAGTACGGGAATCAGAAGCTGATTTGAAGATCGTCTTACCCATTGAAAAGAGAATAAACTGTAAGGAAAACAGTTCTTAGAAATAAGAAATGTCATAAACTTAATCCAGCCGAAGGCAGAATTGATGCCCGTGGAATGAGCTGGAAGCCGAAGGCACAGGATGCTGACAGTGCGCGGGGTACAGAAGCACAGAACGGTGTAGGCGGTGAAACCGCCTTTAGCTAAAGAAAGATTCAGAGTCCAAACCAGTGAAAATCTTCAAATTTTTCGCCTTCCCCAACAGTGTCAGTGACTTAATGAAAACTTTTTAACGCAGTAGCAACAAAAACTAGTAAGAATTTGGGAGTACACCTAATGAGCTGTCCAGGGTTCAGACGGGTAAAATGATAAAATTTTGCTGAAAAAGGGGAAAGGTCTGAATCCAAGGACATGCTGGGTTCTCGCTGGGGGGATTCGATACTGTAAAGGTAGTGGTTCTCCCTGTGCGTAGACATCGTGTCCCCGACGGGACCCCAGCAGCCTACTTCCGTGGGGCTTGCGTGGGTGGGCGGCGATGCGGGTCGGCAGCGAGGGGAGGGGCTTTGCCCTCGGACGCCAGGAGCTACCGCAGCCCGGCCCGGAGCGCTTGCAGCAGCGCCGCGGAACAGAAGGCGCGGAAGCAGGCGGGAAGCTGGAACAGAAGAGCCGCAGACGGAGGAGGGATTCGTGGAAGATGGGACGAGACCTGCCGGCTGCGTTTCGAAAGGTTCCGCAGCAGCCACGTCCTACTGCGCGTTCAAGTAAACTCCGGCTAGCCGGTGTCGAAACATGAAATATGAGAGTTTGGGGATAATGCCAGAGAGTGAATTATCCCTTCAGTAGTGTCGGGATAGGGAAAAGCATCATAAAAAAAAAAAAAAAAAAACAACACCTGAATTTAAGGAGGAACTTACTCCTCCCCCCACCCCCGGAACGACCGATCTCGGTTGGGTCGGAACCCCGGGAGCCTCCACAGTGAGCTCCCCGAGGAATACTGCCGTCAGCGAGGGTAACCGGCGCGTTTCAGCAGCTATGTAGTTAGTATTTTTTTAACGCTGCCGGATGCAACAAGTACCCTCTTCAACACGAGCTTATATAAAAATCTGGCCCGCCAGCCCCTCTGCCCCTGGGCCATTGGTCGGCCCTCCCGCTCTCCCGGGGGCCTCAGCGCTCGTCTTCCAGCGGCCCTGCCGTGCTTCACCCCCAGGCACCACGTAAGGGGAAGGAAACCTGTGCCGACAGGACTGCAGGCGAGGATGCTGAGAACAGATGTGCCCGAGAAGAGCCAGCGCAGCTGGAGCCACCGAGAGCCGGCGTTGGCGACAGGATGCCAGCGAGGGTGCGACGTCCAGGGAGAGCCGCGGAGAGAAGCCGTGGCCAGGTCCCGGGGTGGTACTCTGCAGCCTGCACACCACCCCTTCTGCCCCTGCCCCACAGCGGACCTCAGCCGTCAGGAGGCCTTCCCGCCACGCTTGAGGAGCCTCGGCCAGGCGGTCTTCCCATGCATGAGGCGATGGACCTTTCTGTCTTCTGGGGCAAAAGGGAGGACTGCTTCCCTGCAGCACCTCTGACCCTCCTGGGGAGCGGTGCCCCCTCCTCTCACCTAGGCTTGTAGAGGTCTCTGTTTGCAAAACGGCTCTTCTGGGGTGCAGCGCCGCCTCCGCCCTGGAGCAGGCGGGGCTGGTACGTTTCCCTCTGTCCAGGTTGAATCCAGCCAGTGTTCCAAGTAGGACAGATACTCGCGACACGGAAGGACCGATAATCACTTTCAGAAACAAGAAGTCGGGGGGGGGGGTCCCAGGGAAGCCTTCAGAACAGATTTACACGAACCATGCGTAAAAGCAGGAGGATGAGGCTGCCGTGGAGGTGGACTTCAGTCACTTCGCGCCGTGATTCTTGACGGCGCAGCCCACCTGCCCCGCGCTGCCTGCCGCTGAGGGAGGGGACAGCAGCCTCAGCCGCACCGGCTTCTGTGGTCTGCTGATACTTCCCTCCTGGTAACAGCTCACATCTGCTGAGTTGTCTTATATTTTACATAGATTTTTAAAAGTAATCTGTGCACCCACCTTGGGGTGTGAAGTCACAACCCTGAGACAGAGTCGAGCGCTCCACCACCCAAGCCAGAGGGTGCCCCTTACTGAGCTGCTGTAAATGCCGTGGAAGTTGTAAAATGTGGCCCCAAGGGTTTTTTGTTGTTGTTGTTGTTGTTTTGATGCACATTCTGTGGAGAGAAGGGGTCTGTGCCCACCCCCTTGACATCCCACCCGCTCTGGGACAGTGTGGTTAAGGTTAAGTGGCTCTGGTGGCTTGGAGGAAGAACCTGAGACTGGTCGCTGCGGCCTCTTAGGACGCTGGTTCGAGGAGCCCAGCCACCATGGTGTGAGGGAGCCCAGGCTCGCCTGGGGCCAGGCCCGCGTGGAGAGGGACCGACCTCACCCTTAGCAGCCTTGTGGGTGCACCGCCTTGGGAATGGGTCCTCCAGCCCCACCTGGGCCAGCTCAGCAGACATCCCCCCCGAGGCAGAGAAGGGCTCTTTCCACGGAGCCGTTCCCAGACTGGTCAGGAGTGAAGTGGATGGTTTTTGCTCCTTTAAATTTGGAGGTTGATTTATTCTTTATCAATAATCAGTTGTATGATTGTGTTTATATCATGATATCCATATACAAACTATATGTATTTGTGTTAACGAGGATAAAATCCAGAAACACAAATTATATACGTAGATGAACAAATGCGTAATTTTGCCAAATTTCTCCGTTCTGCTTGGGGGACATCCCTGTTCACAGACCTGGTAAGGTGCAGGGAGAGGAGCCCCCTTGCCTTTGGCCCCCAGCTGGCGGGTAATGAGGCTGAGTCAGAGTGTCACAGACGGCAGACTAGGCCAGAGCCGGCCGTCCGTGT